TACAGTGGAACCCCGGTTAACGAACGTCCTGGTTAACGACCAAATCGGTTAACGAACTTTTATTTTGCAAAAATTTTGTCTCGGATAACGAACGTAACGGTATTTTGTGTCAAATTTTAGTTGGTGTTAGGCATGCGCGAGTTAAGCATTGCTTTTCCGAGTGTTTGTGCTATACTTCTTTTTTCAGTTTTGTGATTTATATATTTAATCAATATGGCATCAAAGAAAGAAAAAAGTCATAGTGGCAATAGAAAATGACAACGCGCTATCACATTTGAAAAAAATTTTGATTAAAAGAGTAAGACAATCAACTTTAGGTCAATTTCTTGTTCCTTACGGAAAGAAATATCTATCTATCTACTATTGCTTACATTACATTGTATATATTTGTAAATAATTTTCTCTTTATTGTTATTATTCTTCTTCTTATTATTTTTTTTACTTTATATCATCTCACTCATATTATGTATCCATGTACTTCTATGTATCTAGTACCATGTCTAACTGGGTTATACATTTGTGGCATCCAGTATTTACTGTACTCCAGTAAGTTACAATAAAATATCTATCTATCCTTACGTAAAGAGTTTGTTTGTTTGTTAAGTTATGGCAACGCAACACTTGGGTGATCTGCCTAGGGGGAATGCCTTCTGGAAGGTGTTTTTAAGGGAAACTGGCCCCTATTTAGGCGTTACAGATGTGGAGAAAACCCGGAAAACTCAACATGGCCAGCCCGTCTGAGTGAGGTGCGAACCCACAAACGAACTCCCCATGTTCAAGGTATGAAGACCACTTAGCCACTGGTGGGTTTTTTTACCGAAAAAGACTTTGACTCAAAGAATCTTCCGATGAAGTGCTACCCGTTATTTTTTGGAGGGGATTCCCCCTTCTAAGCATTAAGGTTTGTATATCTCCACTTTTCTGCCACCAACTACAACAAACAAAGTTATGTACAGTGCTATTTTATTAAACAAAGTTTAAATGTTGCTGTAATGATAGATACTACGTTTTCCTACATTTTCATCAAAGAAAATTACTGTATATTACAAATAAAATGACAAAAATTTCGGAGACTAGAATGGATTAATTGCATTTGCATTAATTTCTATGGGAAAAATTGCTTCGGTTAACGAACAATTCAGTTAACGAACAGAGTCACGGAACAGATTAAGTTCGTTAACCGGGGTTCCACTGTACAACTAAAAACTCATAAGATAGGAGAGAAAGTTCGGCCAATAATAGACTTTAAGTACTCAACACTATATAACTTGAAAAAATTTCTAAAGCAAGAACTTAAGCAATACCAAAACCCCAAATTTGCAATTAGAAACACAGATGAACTTCTAGACGAACTAAATCAAATCAGTATGGAAGAAAACTTTAAGATAGAAAGTCTTGACATTATAGATATGTATCCGTCAATAACGTGGGATTTAATAGAAGATAAATTAAAAAATCTTAAAGTTAAAAATGAAATAATAAGTTTAATAGAATTTGCATACAGAAGTAATTATTTTGAAGCTGATGATGATTTTTATACACAGACAAGTGGAATAAGCATGGGATCAGTAATAGGACCAAAATTAGCAGAATTAATAATGATAGATATAGATAACAAAATTAGCAATATAACAGGCATAAAATTTTATAAAAGATATATGGATGATATTTTAATTATATACAATGAAAGTGAAATAAAGATAGAAGAAATCAACAAACAAGTTAATAATATACAAGAAGTGATAAAATTCAAAACAGAAACAGAAGATGCAACCAGAAAAGAAATTAACTATTTGGACATTATGATAAGAAGATTAAAACAGAGCTTAGAATTTAGAACATTTAGAAGCCAGGTTCCGAGTCAGATAACAATAAGATATCAGTCAAATGTACCACTTCATGTCAAATATAATGTATTTAAAATGGAATATTCTAAAATAAAAAAGAGAACAAATCAAGAAATACACATATATGAAGATTTAGGTGAATTAAAAAAGAAATTTCTCCTGGCAGGTTACCCGCAAAGACTGTTAAAAAAATGGGAACTTAAAATAAATAATCTTAAAAAGCCATAAGACAATAAATAAACAAACGATATAAAGTATATCGGGTTTCCATATATCAAAGGACTACACGAACAAATTGACAATGTAATAAGTAATATAAACTTCAAGATAGCACCGTCATACCAAAAAATGTATACAAGGCTTAAACAGCTCAACACTGAGAAAAAACTACTACTACCAGCTGAAACTAAGAATGTAGTATATAAGATTCATTGTACTTGTAGAAATAATTATTATATAGGAGAAACTAAAAGAAAGTTAAAAACCACATTAAAAGAACATATAGCAGATCTAAAATACAATAGATTAAATTCTGCTTTTTATGATCATTGCACCCTGAACGATTGTAAAATAGATAAAGATAAAGTAGAAATACTCCACAAAGAAAAAGAAACATATAATAGAAAGTTCAAAGAAAGCGTAGAAATTATCAAAAGTAATAAATGTATAAATAAAAACCTAAGTATTAAAATAAACGAAAACTGGCTCAATATCTTATAATATTAGGAATATTTTTGAAGATCTTTTATGCAAAAAATTTTTATGTGGAAAAGAAATTAAAAAAAAAATTTTTTTTAAATGTTGCCACAAGGTGGCCTACTCGTCATGTGACTGTATAGTAGACAGTGGGCAAGCTTAACTGGGGAGGGAAAAAAGGGGGGAGGAAAGGTCAGCAAAATATGTTTGTTCGTAAGAGTAGTATGTAAATTTTAATTGTTAAATCAATTTAAACGTGATTTTAAGAGTATGGTAGAGATTTTAAAATTGTTTAAACTCATCAAAAAAGGTTTGTTTTTAAAATAACATAACCTTTTATGTTCATTTGTTTATACTGTTGTAACTTGTGAACTTTTATTTTAATTGACTGAAGAGGGGCAAGAAATGCCCGAAACGTGTAAGAAAAAAACATGTATCAACTGAATAAAATTTAATTCTGTGACTTGCCAAGTGTCTGTATGAATACGATAAATAATTTGTGTTTGAATTGGTATATATATATATATATATGTTAGTCAGTGAATTTTTTACTTGGCAGGGAGTCACGGAAGGGATTATTTGATTAAACATGATCAGGAGTCATGGAACAAATAATCCTTGGATCATAATCTCCATCTATTCCATTCCTTTCTAAAGGATACCTCAAAGGATTATAATAATTATAGTAATGCAAACCATGCAGAAATTAAAATTCCAATTTACTTTAAATGAATTCCATGTATACATGTATACTACATTAAACTAAAATCTGAAAAAATATATTGGACTCTCACATGAATACTGCTTTATGCTCATGTACTATTATTCCTTCATAAGAAAATATTGGTTTATGTAATTTTAAAAATTCTCATAATGTGATTCCTTACACAACTGTGTATGTGATCAGTGATCATATATATAGTTGCATAAAGCTGATCAGTATAGTATAGTATAGGTATATGTGAGTAAGACAAACAACAAAAATCATAAACTAATGAATTATCTGTGAATTTAAATTTACTTTAGAATAAACATTGTTCTTTGCTTACCTTCAAACAGAGACAGTGGACGATCTGGCGTACGACAATCATGTTTTCCATAATCAAAACACCATTCAGCAAACTATAAAGTATACTATTGCATTTCTTTTTTTTTTTTAATTTTTCAAATTTCACAGTATTTATAAAATAAGTAATACCTTCAATGCTCTCCACAGATGACGTTTTTCGTCTGTCAACTGGTAAAGAACTAAAAAAGCATATGCATTGCCTGAAACACCATGGCAAATACCATAACCTTTCTTCAATATTCCTCGTCTCCAAATTAAATCTCCACATTGTTTTGCAGCATCTAAATATTTCTGTTCTCCAAACACCTAATTAAATGAAAATTACTTAGAACATTTCATAATTTTACAATTTGCAATAATGTTCTTAATATAGTCACCTTATATGCAAGACCAAATAAATGAATGGCACCTGGGGCTCCGTGACACCAGTGAACAAGTCGATCACTTTTATTTCCTAATGAAGATGGCATATTTCCAGAGGGAAATCTTATTTCCAATAAGAAATCTATACTCGGTTTTACCAAAGTATTAAGTTCCTCTAAAGGTATGTATTCATGAGCCTAATAGTATAAGAATAATAATTAATTTTGCATTTCAAAACATTTAATTTCAACTGAAAAAATTTATAAACCAAATAACTGATTTTCTCTCTTACAGGCATTAAAAGCCCTTTTACTCATGGATTCAGTCAGGTAAATCAGAGCTTAGAGATAGAAACCAAAGCTATATTCATCATTAAAAAATAAAATTATTATTAGTGATTATTAAACTTAGCAATTTTTTAAAATCATAATAATCTAATACCATTGAAGTATTCTCATCATTGGTTCAGGGGAGAGAGATTTATTAGTAACTGACAATTGTTGATAATGGTGGAGGGTGAGCCTTTAAGATATATGGTATAAGATACATGGTAAATTTTGCTCAAAAATGAATGATGTAACTAAAACATTTTCTTATAAACTGTTCGAAACTTTCAAGTCTTTAAATACATTTTCTGAACATTCTATACCTAATATAATATTATATTCACATTGACAAGACTTAAAATAATTCTCATATTTTGCATTAATATTAATTTATAAGATAATATACAACTACAGAGTGAATCAAAAATCAACCCACATAGTGACTGCATAATAAGGTCAGCCCTTTATATGAATCACAAAATAATTCTACATGTGTATTTTCTAACCAAATGCACATATGTATTCCTCTCATTTGTAGTGAGCATGTGTTAATGTAATTGGTGTAATATATATATTCATTCAACTGTTCTATGTTTTGTAACTTCACCTGATACAATGTGATCTTCAAATATCTGACAAATAAAAATCAAAAAATGAAAACTGGAGACATAAGAGGCCACGGCTAATCCAATGTATGAAGAATTTTGAGTCATTCTGTACAGTAAATTATTTATTTGATTCAGTATATATATAATTACCTGCAAAAGCATATACAAAATTCCTATCAGACCATGAGCAGCTCCTATGTAACATTTATCATGCCAACTATACATAAGAGGGGATTTGTAGTCACCAGATTTCGACATTTGTTGACCCGATTGAAGTATAGATGATATTACCTATTTTAAGAAATTTCAAAATATCAAAAGAATTTACAAAGGAAGGAAATTACTTAAAGTAATTGGTAATTAAATATTGATTAAAGTTTTCAAATCACTTTACTTTCTCTTCAGTTAAAAATACAATTCTTTTCTGTTTAAATTAGAACACAAACTGAAAAGAAGTATTTTTGAACTATAATTTCTAATGTTAATGACCCCTACAGATAAAAAAAAACAAATCTCCTTGACTACCTGACCTATTTTTAGCCTGTATGCACCATCACTCTGGCGACCCAGAACTGAATCTGGATGGGTAAAAAACTCCAAGAACTTTTTGGCAGGTGAGTCATTCAGATATGTTGGGGTCCATCCCTCACTACCCAGCCACTCTATTATGAACCTGGATGAACTCATAATGGGCTTACTAAAAATGCCCTCTTACAAGGGGACCTTATGGTCTCAGAAATTCAGTTCGGGATGAGACTTCGCAGGTTAGTAGTATACCTCAAGGGTCCACTCAGAAGAATTGTAAAGCGCACTAGCCAGAAGATTCCAACAAAAAGGGCTCTAAAGTTTTAAGCACAGCTTATATATTGGTCGATTTTACACTATGGCAGCACAGCGAAATGGCTGATTCTGTAGCGAACTCGCTTGCCACGTGGGCGATCTAGATTTGGTTCTACCTTCGGCTAACTTTTTTTTATTTTTATTTTTAATTGCTTTAAAACTTATAACAACTTTTAAATAAAGTTAATGATCTAAAAATATTATCAATTAAATCATAAATAATTTTATTTTACTTATGAAATGACTGTTACAGCTAATTAAAATGTGAATTAAAGATAATATTTTATTTTGAAAAATTTTTATTTTATTTTTATTTTTGTTCAACCTAGTGACGTCTATTTTTATAGACAGGTAAAAAATCTAATAACAAAACTTGTAAAAACAAAATTGTGCTTATCTGATTGAAAATAATAGAGAAATAAAATCCTGTGAAGACTATATAAAAATACAATCAATAGTGCATCATCAACTGTCATTGCCAATTTTTAATGAAATGATCTGGTATGCCTGGTATGCTTCCAAGCTATCTGATGAAAGAGAAATTTTCATGAATGTAAACGAAGTATGTTTTCCAATAGATCTTTTAAAAAAAAAGGTTGATCGTGTAAATAAACGTCCTTTAAAAATTGTGCAAGATGTCAAAATAGTTTTGTTTACAATGTTTTTATGATAATTATCATTCTGGTGCTTGTATGTAAAATAAAAAATTGACAAATAAAGACAATATTGTAAAAACTTTTATATAAATAAAACATTACCCAAAAATTGTTATAGTGGTAATTAAAGTTTTAATTTACCTCCATTAAAAATGCATTTGAAATTATTCAACTTTTTAAAAATAAAATATTATCTTTAATTCACATTTTAATTAGCTGTAACAGTCATTTCATAAATAAAATAAAATTATTTATGATTTAATTGATAATACTTTTAGGTCATTAACTTCATTTAAAAGTTGTTATAATTTTTAAAACAATTAAAAAAAAAATTTAAAAAAAGTTAGCTAAAGGTAGGACCAAATTTAGATCGTCCACGTGGCAAGCAAGTTCGCTACAGAATCAACCATTTTGCTGTGCTGCCATAGTGTAAAATCGACCAATATATGAGCTGAACCACCTAAAACTTTAGAGCCCTTTTTGTCGGAATCTTCTGGCTAGTGCGCTTTACAATTCTTCCGGATGGACACCCTTGAGGTATACTACTAACCTGCGAAGTCTCATCCCGAACTGAATTTCCGAGACCGTAATGTCCCCTTGTTAGTGCCCATAGGGCAGAACGGATTAAAAAAGTCTACACATGCTAAAATTTGTTTTTAAACTATATCTGAAGAGACAATAAACTGTCTTTAAAATACTAATCAATATTTTGATTTCTCACACCTTTAAGTAAATATTTAATGTATTTTTTAGAGGAAATCAAACTTTTTAACCTGTTGAACTAAAGTATGATTAATACAATCTCCACTGATATGCTTCATGACAAACAGTAATGCAAATAAATATCCAGCACGTCCAAATAACATTTCATCTGGTAATCCACTCTGAAGAGAGATCACATCTCTACTTATCTTCTCAAGACTATGAAATTAAAGCTTAATGTTACTTTTAAAAGATTGAGAAAATCTTATTTTTAATCTGTTACATACCTTTGTAATAAATCTTGACTTTGTTGAAATTTTCCTGTCTTCTTATAAAGCACTGCAGCTACTGCTAAAGGTCCAGCATCACCACATAAGAAAGAAAATCGCTTGTGTTTCAATGCCGATAAAGGTTTTTCAGAATAATATAAAGCCTTAGTAAAATAGTGGTCCTTCTTCCCATTATCCAATACATTTGACAAGTGATAATACATTAAAGAAATACCTTTAAATTTTTAAGAAAATTAATTATATTTAACAAAATATTTAAAAAATCTTAAAATTTAATTCAGATATTACCTGATGTTCCAGTGTAGACAGAATAGTCAAACCAGTCCACTCCTTTTTTTAATTCTGACTCAAGTTTTTGTAGCAATTTTATTAAATTATCATACAAAGTTTCCCTTTCATTCTTAGATAACTGTAATAAAAAGACAGCAATATTTCCAAAATTTATTCTCTTCACATATTAATTTCCAATTAAAAACATTTAAATGAATTAACAATGATCATTTCTCAATGTTATTATTATTATTTACAGAATTACATACAGTATTACCATATTTTATGCCATATAACATGCACCCACATTTCAGAACAATATTTAGGAAAAAGTACAGTAGACTCTCAGTTAACTGGCACCCATGGAGAGTGGAAGATTCCAGATAAATATAGTTTCTGGTGGCTTGAGAGTTATTATTAAAAGTAGGTCTAACTAACACTATGTTATACCCCATACTATATCATACCATAAACTCTGTTTAACTTGATATTAATATTGAAATACAGTAATTAAAGATAAATTAAGACAAATAAAAACAAACTTAATGTAACACAGTTTCATTATAAAACCAACCTGTAAATACAGTATGCAATTTTAGTTAAATGACTGGAGTGTGAGACTAACATGTAGTGCACAAAGCATTGGTTTACTCACAGCACATGCCAAGTTTAAACTTACATTTCTGCTAGAAATTGATTTTATTTTAATTTTTACTTAGTTAGTCTTATTTCTTAGAATTTTTTGCTGGTTACTTGAGTTCTAGTTAACAGAAATTCTACTGTATTTAGTGTATTTAAGCAATACTGTGTCTTTGACTGTCAGTCCCAAATTTTTTACTGTATTCTGGTTAAAAAAGTAAAAATACAATGCATATTTTTATTTACTAGGGAAAAAGAGGAGTTTAAAAGAAGTCATTACAATTAAAATTCACCATTAAAATATTCAACATATATATACAACAGCTGCTTAGCTAAAACAAAAACTAATAATAAAAATAATAATGTGTTTAATTAAACAATAGCATTTTTCTTCAAGAGTTGGGCTAGATAGAAGTTAGCTGTAGTCTTTCAAAAGCCATTTGTGATTTATTAGGCTACGGGCAATTTTTGGATGAAAGTTGATCTTATATTAAATTCTAAATGCAATAATAAGTGGACTTTTTTCTATAAAATTTAACATTTAATTACATATTTACAGCACATGATTTGAATGATAAATTTTATCATTAAATCATCATTAATAAAACTATAGAAGTATTTTTCCTATTATCTTATAATAATTTTAAATCAACTTTATGATTTCACTTACAAATACATTTTTATCTTCAATTTTACATTCAATTAATCATTAGAAAGCAAAATATGTTTCCTGAAAGTTTATGGAATGAAAATTACTCCAAAAACATTTTAAAAAATCGAATATCCACAGTGTTTTTGTTGCTAACACCATTTTATAGAAGTGTGAAAATCAAACAAGAAAAAGGAAAACAACTCAAGGATGACGTCATCAAAAACTAGAATAAGTCAACTTTCTGACTTGAAAGTGTGTCAACTTATGTTTTCTCAGAGTTGATAGTGACACTTTATGAAACCTTTCCCTCAACTTTGTCAACTCTAAGGAGTTTGCAACTTTGAATATTACAAAGAACAGCCAATTTTAATCAGTCGTTGCCTGTTCTTCATTCCTTTAAGGTCTGTGTCTGTGTACTATTACCTTCTTCAGTTTTATTTGTGTGCCTCCTTCAGATTTCTTGTCATCCTTCTGTTTGTGAGCTGCTATTCTTCAGAACTGTTAATTGACATCAAGAACTTATTTCCTGTCTCTTCAATGTGGGATTTCTAGTTCAGACTTGTAAGGTATCAAAATTTGTGAACTTTCTCTCTCCACAATGATAATCTGCATAAATGCAAACACTGTGTCTTCTTTATCTGTGTAATGTATTGTACAACTTTTCATGCCATCTAATAAATGTTTAAGCGTAGTTAATTGTGTCAAATGACTCCTTTCCAACTGAATCTTGTCATTTCCTACTCCATCCTCTTACCCCTAGTCTCAAGACATAAAGACTGCTATTACCACCCGGAAAAACACTCAAAACTCGTGTAGTATGCGTAACCTTCTTGATTTCATAAATTTCCAAATGTAATCACTTACATTCGTCAATAGGAAGGCTAAAAAGCTATATAAAACTTCCTTGGGATAGCCTGGACCTCACACTGGTTTCAGAGAAAAACACAAATGGAAATGTTACATTGGTGTCAGAATAACACACATAAATAGAACCCTCACAGTGGTGCCTGGACTTCACCTGGCAACCCTCACAGAAGTTATAAGTTGATATAAATATATAAATTACTTACCAAAAGATAACTATCTGCTGCAAAATCAGAAAAACTTAAAAAAAATAAATTAAATATGAAACTATTTTGAGTTTGAAATCATTCTATAAACTTCTGATATAACTTTTAGTCTATCTAAGGGTAGTTAAGTTTTCTTAATTACAAATATGCCCAAGCTAAAACACAACTCACTGAGGAAGAGATTATAAAAGTTTGGGAAATAGTTGTGTGATATTACTGAAGTATTGGAAAGTTCAACTTCAGAAATATATCAGATACTTCAGAAAAGTGAGAACTGAGGTGTAGATGGCAATAATGACAACATCTAGAGATGATCAACAAATTTTGCAACTGGTGACCAATAATTGCTGCTTTATAAAAACTAGAAGCTAATGTTTTTGAATGCAAGGTGTCTAAAAGCACTACGGTTGAAACAACTGCACATCTAGTTTACACTAAAATGGCTAAACAACCATCTCTGAATCAGCACACATTAGTTCAAGAATGAATTGGACAAGAGAATATAGGTCATGAAAGGAAGAATGGAAGATAATCCTCTTCAGCAATGAAACAAAATGGAATTTAGATGGGTCTGATGGTTGAGTTTGTTGTTGTCATGATTTGAGGAACCTAAGACTTTTTATAGCACACAACAGAAAAGGAAAAATTCAGTTTGGGCAGCTCTTAAATATCACAGTTAAGGTCTAACTTTCTAATGGTCTTCATCAATAGCAGATAGAAATCAGAACACCAGAAGATATTAGAAGAGTTTCTTTTTCCTGCTGAAAAACAACTTTGAGAAGAAGATGGTTTTTTCAGAAAGATAAAGCATCCATAACTCCTATTCAACTTAAACATGGTTTAAAGAAACATATGTTGAACTTATAACGTACCCCACAAGAAGCTCTGATTAGGGATTCCTGATACCACAAAAGTATTGATACAGGTATTGACATCAGGTATTGAAACTAGAAATCTTGTTGTGTTGCTATTCAATCCATGGCTTGATTTTGAAACATTTTGTGTAATTGAAACTTTTAATTTTAGCATAAATAACATGCTTTATTCTAGTTAGTTATTATTAACAAATTATTAAACCTGATTTCTAATCATCAATATCATTAAATCAATATATTATAAAGATAAGTGTACAATGTGCATGCTGCTAAAACTCAAAAACGAGTCCCGGTACGATCAAGGGAGTTATATGGTGTGCAAACCGAGGGGGTAGAGCGAGAGCTTCTCCCCACTTACCGGCTTGGCTGTCAGAGAATGGCTATAGGAGGGCTAAAGACATGAGTGGGGAGGAGTCGGAAGTGATCAGGTGTCCAAAAGACTACACAGGTTTAAATAAATAACACATTTACTAAAACATTAAATAATTATACATAGAGATAATAAATACAAACATACATGTATCGGGATATAAATATGTATTCTAAAATCTAACCTAACCTAACCTAATGCTAAAGTTTGAGAGGGACCTTACGTTGGAGAGAGATAATTAATTATGGCAAGGGTTTACCTCGTAGGTAACGTTCTCCTATTATAGGGCGTTGATAGAACACTCTGTGATCGTCGTCTTCTAATCCGAGGTGTCCTTTGAAGGCTATGTGGAAGGATGTCCTTCCCAGACCGTGCGGCTATGTCCCGATGCGATGTATGCTCCATCGCTCCTAAATCTGTAGAGAGTTCTTCTTGGTGAAGTTCGCTTGGAGGTTTCTTCTGTTAACCTCTTCGAGGAGTAATTCCGTCGTATATGGAGAGAATAGAAAATATTCAAGTCTTTACCTTTTTATGGAGCGGCAATTATGAGTTTTGTAGATTCTGAGGGTGCTGGAAGAGTAGTCCACTGCGTTCTCTTCCCCCGATGATCGCTGTCCGTTTTTCCTTAGCTGTCCAGAGGGGTTTCTTCGGCGTTAGCTCCTCAGCCAAGCACGCCAAGTAGAAAATCCGACCCCTTTATATACCCGATCTGCATAGGAAAAATCTGGGAATTTGTTGATGTCTTTTGACATCTCTCCCTGATTTATTACCGTCTCCCGTGCTGTAGAAAAACTTATCTCCTTATTTGGTCATTTATCATCTGGTCGCTTGGACGTATGGGGGTCACGTGATATCGTGGTCCCTTGTCGATGACCTTCGGATGACGAAAGTCACCCTCGCTAATTACGCAGTTAGTGTGAAAATAAAAACTAGCGTCCGTATTCTCACAATGGTGTGGTAGCCCTCTATCCCCCATCCATGAAGAAGGTTCCTGTTTTTACCTGAAAGGCGTGCTGTTGAAGATATAAGGGCTGGAAGTTAAGGCTTACGCTGAAGAACTCGGTTTCTATTATACTATTTTTAGATGCAATTTTTTGCATTTTTGACTGTGTTTTAGTAGGCTACCACATTTAGTAGGGTACCACAGGGGATGAAAGAAGTGTATTCCTTAGCAATGAAAGTGTTAAGAATGGTAGTGTTAAAAATGGAAGTGTTGAGTAACAATGAAAGTATTAAGAGAAGGCAGTATGCAAGATTTACAGTCGCAGATACAGTTTTTTGCATTTTTGCAGGAAATTGAATATATTTTTAGACCCATGTAAAAATTCTCTAATTAGTCTGGAAACAGGGGACCTAATTCTTGCATTCTGTGAAAACGGGTAAGATTGGCTATAATTTAATTATCTTAATCTTAGCTATCGTTACTTTTTGCCCGAGCAATGCAGGGCTTATCTGCTAGTATAATAAATCTTCAAGTTTTTCAAATAATTGGCAAATTATTTATAAATAGTTATCTAAATTCTAAGTGTATTGTACTGTACATAGATTATGGAAATGAAAATTGATGTAATAAATTTATTGATTTTCAGTCATTATATTTACTATGTAAGTTTAACTTAACCAAAAATAGTGTAAAATTTGGTTTTGGTTGGTTGCTTTAAAACCCAAATTCAGTTTCAGTTTTGAATTCAGCTGCAAAATCCAATTTTCGTTGAATCTTATCTGTCTGTGAAAAATGTAACAATAGCAGATCTAATACCAAAGGAAAAGTATCAATACCAGTCTGCAATAGACCAAGCATAACGAGTATAAAAAAGAAAACTTGCTATCAAAAAAAGTATCAATATGACATTGGTATCAGCAGTATTGAGACATCTCTAGCCCTGATGAATCCAATTAAGAACCTGTGTGAAAATACTTCTAGGCAGGTATATACAAATGAATAGTAGTACTCCTGTTAACACTCCTGACCAAAACAAAATATTTTCTACTATTTGGAAGTCTGGATCTGACATAATGTGCTATACTCATATTGTAGCAGTTTCAGGCTGTATGGTTTAAAATGACAAAGACAGTGCAGGTGTGAGTACAGTTTTATTAAACTTGGATTTTACATCAACATAATGTTTATCACCACCAAAGAATCAAGCACACATCATACCTAAGAAAGAAATATGGATCTGGTTTTTCACTGTATCTGACCTTCCTTGCTTCTCTACCATCTCAAGTCATTTTGATATATATTTATGCAGGCCCTTGATCAGTTTTATTGAAATTGGTAACAGCCCAATTAATGGCATCAATGAGTTCTTCTTTGTTGTTGTACTATTGGTCTTGATGTATTTGCACTTCTAAAACATGCAAGGTATTTCTTGATACTTAGATCTGGCCTTCTCACAAGTCACTACAGAACAGTCACATTGTTGGCCTGAAAATACCAGATGACTTGGCTGGCTTTATGATATAACACATTATCCTTCTGCCATATCCATTTTCTGTGGCCATACTAGTACTTAATCCATGGGAGAAAGATGTGCTAAAAGTCCTACATATAATTACTGCTGTTATATTGATACTTTCTGATTGACAACCATAACTTTGCGATTTCTCATTGAAGTGGCTCCTTTGAAGCTGCTAATGCTTCACACATTGATAGTGGTGTACAGTGCAGTTATATCTGTAAGGAACCAAGTCCGAGTGTTTTTTTGTTATTTTTATTTTTGCTTTTATTCTATTTTGTTTGGGGCTTATGTTTTGTTAGGATGAAGGTTTCCTCACCACTCACCTTAGAAACTTAAAAATAGAAGAGAAACCAACTCATTGACAAGAGAAAAGCGCCATAGCTAAAACTAACATATACTTGTGCTCCCGAGCGGAAAAAAGTAAGTCCGCACCGAGAAAAGGGGGGAGACCCCACAAGCACAACTTAGGAACTTGCTAAACCTTAAGAATAAAACATCCCGAAAATTGTCAAAAAGAATAACGTAAAAGGTTAGCGAGTATTGTTGGAAAATAGGCTGCCAGACAAAGTTTTTATTGTTAGCAAATAAGTATGTAAATGAGGAGTGATCTCACTCAGAATTGTGATGTCACCTCACAGTGTAAAGACCGAACCTCAAATAAAGATGACCGAGGTGAGCTTATGTTAGCAACGAGCGTGGTGAGCTTCGTGTCAGCAAACGAGAGAGAGGAGGACGATAGGATAAAGTAGTTCCAAGATGATTTTGAAGTTATTCGATTTGTGGATCGAAGATTAGAGAGTCTTTAGAGTTGAGGAAAAAGGTTCCTAGTATATTGAGGTGATGATTAGGACCTTTAATTCATAAGAATTGTTGTACATAAGTTAAGTCTTTGAATTTTTGTCGAGTTCCAAAGGGGAATAGATTTAAGTTAGTAAAAAGATTGATTTGAGTTTTGTCAGGTTAATTCTTACTGATTTTCATTGAATAAATTGTTGTTTGATTTGTTACTAAATTTTGTACATAGTTATTACTAGAATTATTATTAAATATTGGATTGTTTTTTGATTAACTTTGTCATTATTTCTTTTGGTGCACACTTAAAGTCCAGGCCTGGTACATTAACGCAAATCCACATAAAGTACCCGTTAGGTAACGACTATTTCCGGCGCACAGTCGTATCGATAATCGTTAGAAAAATAATATAGTACTTTACATATCTAAGCACATGAACAAAAGTTGTCTGAAAAATACTAGCTCAATGGATGAGACAATGAAGCAAGCAAATTGCCTCAAACAGCAAAATGTTCAAAAGGAGAAAAAATAAATAAAAACTGAATGCAGTAAAGTTCTGTAAATATATTTTAAAGTTATAAAAATTGTAAAACGGCTTTGTCACATTTTAATTTTAAAAAAGTTTTAAAGAACAATAAAAAAGCTGTGTATTTGCCCATGGAACTTTTTTGTCATTGTGAATACTTTTTATTGTTCATTGAAATTTTTAAAAAATTAAATCATGACAAAGCATTTTTAAATGTTTGTAATTTTTATTATGAAAAGTAAATGTGGACAGTTTCAACAAAAGTTGACTACAGGTAAGATACTATTGTGATCAAAAAAATATTGGGAATGGTTCATTTAAAATGCATCTTGCAAGAGGCACTATTATCATTTTTTCATCATTTGGTATGACTTTCATTGACATCTAGAAGCAATCCATATGTCATCATCTGTTTTCATTTGCAAATAAATGTTTGTTTTGTATGTAAAGAATTTTTGTGCCAGCAATTTTTCAAAATGTTCAATGTAATTGAGCAAAGAATGTGCATTAATTTTTGTTTTTTCAATAGAATTATTGCTATAAAAATGTTGGAAATACTGATGAATAAATTCAAATCTTGCATTTTATTGAACCATTTCCGATACATTTTGATCACAAAAGTAAAAACTTTAACTCCAGCCTACAAGAAAAATGTTGTTTTGAGGGGGTACTTTATCTATAGAATGTTTTCATCGTTGTAAACATTGTTATCATTTTTTGAAACTTTTTTAAAGTTGTTTATAAAGTTTATATAGTTCATACAAGAGTACTAATGCTAGAAATGCTCTCTATTGGCAACCATTCTAGAAACAAGCAGCAAGTAATTTCACTTCAGGTGAAAGTTATTATCTAGCAGTATTGCCATCCTAAGACCACACTATTTCCACAAATATAACATATCATACAGTATTTGATAATGTACTGTACCTCTACAAGGTCACTTTCCTACTTATGTTAGAACTTTTGTTCACATTTTTTATGAAAGTCTTCAGAAAGATCTAAAAATTTTGAGAAAGTTTTCTAACATCTTGACCAGCTACTCATTACCTGCATCTGAATCATTCCTATTTCAGTTGTGTTTGGCATTTAAGATTATACAAACATGCTTTTATATATTTGGATATTATAAATTTGTGGTATGCAATAACACTGTTCTTAAATACATAGTTTTGAATTTATATTTTACATAGAAAACATTTTATATTACATATATTCATATATGCATGTATGCAATATGAATTTATTGAGTGTTATTGCATATATGTGTATTCATATATACACATGTATGCAATAACACTGTTCTTAAATACATAGTTTTGAATTTATATTTTACATAGAAAACATTTTATATTACATATATTCATATTTTTACTCACCTTCAAAGGATCATTTACATTTAACAGATGTTTACTGCTATCATATTCGGGATACGGATTATTAAATTCTCGTACTTCAGTCATTTTCTCTAAAACAGTAAAGTTTACATAATATATTAATAAATTATCAAGATTTCTTTTACAAAATTCAAAATTTAATTAAGCCTCTCAATCTACTTTATCTTTGTTGAAGTTTACTAACAGAGATTTGAATCAATGAATTTAGTCTGGAGAATGAATATACAGTAATTCTTTTGAAAATATAAATCCTTGTATTTGAGAACACAATTCTCGAACTTTAAAAATAATATAAATCTTAACCAAATCAATTTAATTTGCATATTACTTTTGTTATATATAAAATATTTTGTTCAAATTGTATAGAATGCTCAGTCTCTAATGCACAAGATTCTATCTTATAATAATTGCTTTGTTTTTCTGAGAGTGTTTCAATACAACATACATCATTTATATTTCAGTTCCTGATTTAACAACATGGAATAATTTGTTTTGGAGCATTAAAAAACAAAGTTTCTTAACTCCATTTTACAACAGTTGAAGCCTAAAAATAGCTAAGACAGATGATTTAATAATTTTCAAATGCCAACATGAAAGATGTTCAGAACATGGAATAAATTGAAATGTGTGCAGAGAATGTTAAGAGCACACAGATAGCTTCTACAGTAATTAGCATGCATAGAAACTGTGTAATCATCTATAATTATTTTTGATGATAAAGATGTAAACAAGCATTTAATGTATGTATAAAATGTTAAACTTGATAGCTTCATAAATTCAAGAAGCACTGTACTGTACAAGTCTGCAGATTATGAACGCATTGATTTTCATTCATGCTTTAGACTTCTCATTCTGTTAGTAAATACAAGTATGATGATGATATTTACATAGGTATGCTTTTTAACAGCTGATTTATAAATGAGCTACCAAAAGGTTCATTTCTACAGGCTTATATTAGATAATGCCAAAATAAACAAGCTTATTATAAGTACACAAAATAAAGAAAATCGAATCTTTAACATTTAAATTTAATTTTCATTTTTAGAACATTTACCAAATTATTCAAAAATTTCGTCAGTATTAAACTGTTTGTTCATTAAATAGTCGATTTCTCTTAATTTGATTACACAAATAAACACAGATTGCTTCTTGTCATACTGTCAGATAGAAGAATAACAATTTTGAAATTTTACGTTTGTTCTGTCATATTTGACGCTGCTGTTGTTTTGGTTACGTTGCCAACCCTATTCTTTTTTTTAACATAAATCTATTAAAAACAACAAATAAAAAAATATTAAGATTGAATCATGCTGTGTAATAATTATTAACTGAATAAAAAAACATTAATATTTGCATTAATCCCAAAATAGCTACTTAATATGTTGCCTGTTACTTCGAATAATTTCGGCCGGATGGCCGAACTGTTGAAGTGGCAGCCTGTCGCTTTGAAGACCCGGAATCGAAAAATCCTCAGGAATTTTTCGATTCCGGGTCCCCGAAACGGTGATCCGACCGGATATTTCGGCTATCCCTCACCACCCGCCCGTCCCATTGTGGACCAAGAGGTCTTTTAGTGCCCACTTGCAAAAAGAGCAAAATAATAATAATAATAATAATAATAACTTTGAATTATTCAACTTTGCCAACAATCTTATTAATCGAAGGAAAGTAAATTAAATAAATAGAATTTATATTATAATTTAGCAAATTAAAACAACTTACTACGAATTATGATGTTATAACTCACTTGTCAGTGTGATTCGGACAGCAATTGATGACATTCCTTTCGTAACGGCCCATCCACACATTCGGTATTAACCGAATACCAGACAAAAATTTGGTGAATACTGAATACTTTTTTTTTAACTCTATCCAGTCTGTGGGTGCTAAGAGCGCCTCTTTTAGCAAGTCCATTATGGGTTCGGCTAGCCCACAATGGGACGGGCGGGTGGTGAGGGACGGAGCTCGACATATCTGGACGGACCACCCCCGAAAAATTCCTGGAGATTTTTCGACCCGTTCGGATTCGATTCCGGTCCCCAGAGCGGTAGGCTGCCATTTTGACCGCTCGGCCATCCCGCCGTAAATACCAAATACTGTGAGCGGTTGTGAGCAGAGCCGGCCCTACCATAGGGCGAAAGGAGCAGCCGCTCCAGGCGCTAAGTCCTAGGGGGCGCCTCAGTGGTAAAGAAAATTAAAGGGTATAAATTTGGGGCAACCAAGGGCAGTGGCGTAGCAAGGAGGTGTATCAAGCACCGGGCGTCACTCGCAGAGGGGCGCCCAAATGGTCTCCAAGACAAACTATGTGTTTCTGGAAGGGGCGCCAATGAAGTAGCGTGCCCCGAGCGCCAGTTATGTTCGCTACGCTACTGACCAAGGGGGCGCCATAATAGGATCTCGCTCCATCCTAAAACTTGCCTCGGGCCGGCACTGGTTGTGAGCTATGTATAAACAGTGTTTGTGTCAACCGTGCCATAAAAATTCCATAAGTGTAGTGTTATAGATGTAGTCTAACCATAAAATTTCGTATGACAATTCGTTTATAATTAGCGATTATGGCATTCATGGAAATTGGCCCATTCGCTCCGCTCGTGTGCCAAACTTCCATTCATGCCATAATCGCCTATATTATAAACTAATTGCATAATATATTATTGATGCAAGAGTCTTTAAGTACTAATTTAATAAAACAAATGCACATTATAACTCTGGTTTCATAAATTAAAAATCTGTTTATTGCATTGTAACTTCGAAGTAATTTTTATGGTAAAGCTTTCATTTCATTGAAATGAAAGTTTCACCGTTTAAATTTTCTATGACATTCTTTTTATTCTTACTTTCTATAATGACTTTTTTGCTTACACATTTGGATTTCGGAACAGAAAGACTAATATATCGTGATGGAAATCCAAGCTGGATTCACTTGCTGTATTTGAACGAACGTCGCGCTATAAAGTATCACTAATAATGCGAATCTTTGGAAAAATGAAAGAAAACGAAACATTCCAACAATTACTGATTAGAACGTAGAATTGAATATTCTGTCTAAATCGCTAGAATAATTTTCAAGATTTTGGATTCTTTCAATTTCGGTTTTTAGTTAAGGCGATCGTATATAGACACACAGGGTAGGTGGAAAGTTACTAGACATTGAGAGATCGCTATAATTTTTGTAATGGTAATGTGATCATAATAAAATTTATATATTTATGTACATCAATCAATGGAATTTTATAATTCCCGATCGGTAGTGTGGGACGTGACCAAGAGAGGCTGCACGTGCTGTAGCAATAATAACAGTTGACCGCTTGTCTGTTCAGGAGCGAGCACAGATTGCTGCACGTTATGGGATGTGGAAATCGGGGGTTGCGTGAGTGATGGTGGCGTACGATGAAGGAATGTTATGCTACAGTCCGTCCGGAAACAATCAATTGTTATTCGAAGATAAAATGACCATAGGTTCGGTTGCGAATGCACAGAGAAATGGCGATCCATCCACATCACAATCTGAGGAAAACATGGTTGATGGCTGCCAGTACCTATATTGAATTTTAAAATATGTATTCGTTTTCCCATTTAATTAGATACATGCCAAATAAACTTCATCATTTTTAGAAGGAGGTGGGGTATTTAGAAAAACGTTACGTAATGCTAGGGTTTTGACCCTTTAGGTAACAACAATTCATTTTGTTTTTTAAGTATCTCATAGTGAACCTTACCACCTATGTCATTGTTTTATGCGTTATATCAGTGTTTTTCAACCGGGGTGCCGCGGCACCTTAGAGTGCCACCAGGGCTGGATTTGAAGCGATTGGAGCGATTTGCGCCAATCGGGCCCCGCAGGACATCAAAATTTATATATTTAAAAATAGTTTCAAATTACAGAATAGATTAAACAGTTTAGCGATCATGTCGATTAAGAGTCAAGAAGCAAGCCAGTTGGATTTTGATATTATTTTAGAAGATTTTACAGAACAAAAACTTCGGATCATATAAAACACCTCTTTATAGGTTTATATTAATAAAATTCAGTTATATCAAGGGTCGCCAAACATTTTTAACTGTCGACCCCCAACCACTTTCCAAAGCCTCACATTGACCCCCACCGTAAAGTTTTATTACAAGTGTATGTGTATGAGCAAAAAAAAAAAAAAAAAAATTGTGACCCCTTAGCCGCATCGACCCCTCAATGATGTTGCATCGACCACTTTGGCGACCCCTGAGTTATATTTATTCATCTACACATTAGAAGATTTTTCATGGCAAAAATTTATGTAGTTATATTCATTTAAAAATATAGAAATACTAAAACATATCTACGTATGTTTATATTCAATAAAATGTAGTTGTATTTATATTTGGTACAGGTTTTTTAATGTAGAAATTTGTCTACATGACTTTTGATTTTTATAATTAGATTTCGGATTTTGTTTTAAATAAATATTTAAAATCTATATTTCAATATGTAAATTAACTGTTAATTAATTTTGTTATTTAAAGTTTTGAGGGGCCCCGCAAAAAAATTCAATCGGGCCTCGCACCTATTGCATCCGGCCCTGGGTGTCACGGTGCCACGATTGGGGTGTCGCAAAGTTTGGGGCCTTTAGGCATTTTCTTGGAAATTTACTTAAGTGTAGTTCAAGATAACTTATTGTCAGTTCTATTTTGCTACGAGATATCTAGTAAGCAAAGAAACGATGACTAATCGCATGTTAATGTAATGTTCTACGCTATGTGTACGCACGACTTGTCACGAGTTCGCCCAAACCACATTGCTTGGCTTTCACATTCCCAGTCCCAGTACCAGGCCAACCAGCAGAGAAGAACGACGTGGACACTTGTGTCTTGTATATACTTTAAAAAGCGTTGCATTGTACTTTGAAAAGCGTGTGATTTCAATCACAAAGTAGATGCATATTACAGTATTTTCATAGTATTCAAAGCAATGATGACAAATAAACAATTTTTTATCATTTTTTTTAATTTAAATTTTTTAAATTGATATGAAAAAGATAAGAAAAAAGTAATGAAATATTTATTTTAAATATGCATCAAAATAGTATAAAAAACTATAACAAAAATGATAATATATTTGATAATAAAACTAGATTTAAAAAACAATAGCGAGACTATTATTTTACATGTAGGTATTTGGACAAAATTCAATGGACTTAAATTTTGATTTTGAACACGTAGAAACGCTTTTTTTTGCATTAAAATGCTATTTCAAACTGTCAATTTTTAAAATTTTTCTTCCCGAGGAGGGGATGCCCTCCCCGGACCCCACCCCAGCATTGCGCGTAATATTCGTTTTCGCAAAAAATTCCTCTGCCCCATTAGTCCCCTCTTATTCAGATTCTAGATCCACCGCTGGTCAAGGGTGTCACGATTTTTTATTTTTCAATCAGGGGTGCCACTCAATGAAAAAAGTTGAAAAATACTGCTCTACACCTTTTCTATTTCAATTTCAGAAAAAAATAAAGTAATTTTCAGAAAATGTAAGTTTAATTTCAGAAAAGGTAAATTTATTTTCAGATGAAGTTAAATTAGTATTAATTTTAAGCATAATTTTTTGAACGGTAATTAGTTAGCTTATGATTCGGATTTCGATTGAATTAATGTCATATTTAATCGTTATGAATAAATTGTTCAATTGTTAGATAAAAATTAACTGTAGCATCTATGTATAAGTACTTTAACATACCGAAAGTAAAGAAACAAATTAACATTGCACAAAATTTCATTATATTTTTAAATACAACAATGTCACTCCTGAAAATTAAGTGTTGTTATAATTAAATATAATAAAATTTGAATAAATTATATTTTCTGAAGTAGAATTTACTTTTTCTGAAATTGAAATCGAAAAGGTGCAGGTTTGAAAAAAGAGAATAAACTATCTTCTAATCGAACATTCGAACTTGACAGATTAGACTAAAGCTAGCCTGTATTGTATTAAATTAATGCTAACTTTAGCCTAATATAACTAGATTCAAGAGGAGACTATAAAATGATGTAATATTCTGGAATATTACTATGTCAAGAATAATTTATCAATATAACTTATATTTATTAAATATTTAACAATTTCTTCCAAATTTGTATCAGCACCCTGTATGTCACTCCACCATGCAAAGTCATGAAGATTTATTACACTTGTCTACACTGATATTGCCTACCGCTCATACTGTTATAATGGCGTCTTCACCTTTAAATTGTATAGTTTTAAGTTTACCTTTACTTTGTATA